GGCACAATGTACATTTCAATTCCTTTAATTTTAAATATGTTTATATTGTCTATCCTGTAAAATAGTCAGATGTCTATTCATATTAATGTACAGAATTCACCTGCTTGCTGCTACTACTGCACATTCACCCAGTGTATATACTATATGTCTGTATATATATATATGTAATGTTCTTCCTCTTTTATATTTATCAATCTAAAAAAATAAACATTTAGTCTGATTTGATGTTACAATTAAAAACGTGTTTTTATCTGAAGAGTTTGTAAATATCCGGTTTCAACTGTATATTTGATGATTGTCAGCACAAAGAGGGAGAGAGAGGAACAGAGAGGGAGAGACACACATGTTAGTCAAATGGTTGTTTGCCAAAAGTATCACCGTATCATAGGTCCTCATGTATCTCGTACCTAGTGTTTCTTTTTAGATACCATTTGTTACTTTTCAAATTCTATATTTACTAAGTTTTGCAGGCTTGTTTGCGCAACAAGGCTAAATAATTATATAAACTTTTCTCAATCTAAATAGTGGACTTTGGTAGAATTAAAAAATAAGTGTAGTGCAGGTCTATGATGATTTTTAGTGCTACCATCATCCAGTTCTGATTCTGGTTCTGTCTTGGTTAAGTCCTCAGTAGTCCTGATTTTGAACTGTTGTAGTCCTGTTTTAATTCCGGATCAGTTAGCTGTGTTTTTACTCACAGACCCGACTCTTGGAACGTCAGACCCGATGCCCTTTTCTGTCAGTTCTTGCCCGTGGATGCCTCTGCAGAGGAGACCACTATATTATCGCCACCTGTATCGCTGGATTTCTGATGTAGGAGAGCGAGTCCCAGGTTCCCTGATCCAGGTAACGACCCATCCTCAGTTTGATCCCAGGTCATCCATTGGTGGCATGCGGCCAGGTTCACGTGCTATCCAGTCTTGGACTGCATGATAATTTTCCTGCAATGTTTGTTTTGGTGGCCTTCCCTCAAAAAGGATGACCAGGAGTATGTGTCAGCTTGTCAGGTGTGTGTCCAAAGTAAGGCTTCCAGTTCCATGCCCGCAGGATTCCTCTGACAGCATTGGACCCACATGTCTCTGGACTTCATCACCGGCCTTCCTCCTTCAGCAGGTAACATAATTATCCTCACTACTGTTGACCACTTTTCTAAACAACCCATTTTATCACCCAAAGTGCCATCTGCACTGGAGATGGCCCAGCTAATGACTGATGATGGGCTCCAGCTGCATCGTGTCAGACTGTGGCTCTCACTTTGCCTCGCAGGTGAGGAAAGAGTTCTGCTCCATACTGGGAGCCCAGATTTCACCCAGAGACTAATGGTCAGGTGCAGAGGACAAATCAGGAGCTGCAGGCCTCTCTTCAATACACCTTTAGAGATTCAACTTCCCAGTTAAGTTAGGTGAGTGTCCAGCTGAGCTTATTAAGTTCTTCCTTCGGGCACTCTTTTGTTGTTTTGCCTTT